AAACAAAATGGGAGGTACCACCAGAGAAAGTTCCTGAAATGCTGGAGGATGGCTCTCACTCCTCCTAAAAGAACCTATAGTTTATTTTGGTGGCAACAGAAAGTGATGCACCTTTTAATGTAAGTCTTATAAGAGGTTCAAGTTCTGGGAGCAGTCGGACAATATGGGTGAAATGTACAAAGAAATTTAATTCATTATCTACATTTTTTAATGAGTTTCATGAAGAGGCTCAATGATGGGGTGGAAATGTTTAACATTTATTCTTAAAATCAAACAGAATCTGGTAGACCTATTATCCGGGGATCAGACTTCAAATGAAAAGGACATGTCCCACTGTGTCATCCAAGCTTCTCACTTAATCCCACTTGTGATCACTCACCTTGTTGAATGAGGAAAAGTAACAGTAAAATGTCATGCTTGAGCATGAATTTACCATGGATTTAAAAAATCTCTTTGGGAAAAAAAAACTAGTTATATCATGCTAAGTTCTGAGTCAGGAATTAGAGAAGGGGGTCAGCATAGCACAGTCTGGAGTGAGACTGCCCAAGTCTGACTCACTAGTTCTTGCTGCCAACCTTGAGCAGAGACTTAACCTCCCTGTGCCTCAGTTCCCTCATCTGCAGAATGGGGATCATAACAGTACCTACTTCAAAGGGCTATTTGTGAAGGTTAATGGATTATTACAGGTGAAGCTCTTGCCTGCATATACTACTAACTCGTGAGTTAGCTACTACTGAGCGCGTCAGAAAGCTCCAGCCAGAAAGGCTCTAATAACCTGAATGACACCTAAGTCTGACTCCCTAGGTATGATAAAGAAGTTGATCTCTTAAGCATTTACATTTCCCTCCTTTGACTGGGCCTAAAGAGGAATGAACTAAAGAGAAAGCTCCCACTTTGCCCAAGGCTGATGCTGCTCTGGGGGCGGGAGCAGAGGGAAGAGCTCTCTGAGAGTTCTAGGTCTTAAGCACCCACTGAGACCGTGAGGGCAAAACATCCATCCTCAGTTGATGTTCCAAGACCAGCCCCAGCACTCCCTCACCATAGGCACTAGGCAGAAGAATCATCAGCACTCGCCTGCTCCCGGCCTCAACTAGTCATGGACATAAGGTCTGTCTACTAGGGATAGGAGGGCACATGGATGGAAGGAGAGGAGGTGGCTGGGGCTATTTTCATCTCTTCACAAGATATCATGTCTGCCTTCCCCAATGACTTGTTCTGGGGGATGGCAGAGAAGGTGACAATATGGAGATAAGCTTGCACCCCAGGCTGATCCCAAACCCACAGGCTCTAGGTCCACCAGCCATCACAATTCATCTAAAGTTCTTCACACATACTATGCCATTTTGTTGTCTTCATGTATTCATTCAGTGTCCCACTTCCTCCACTGACTGAACCTACACAGCTGAGCCTGGCCCCTGGGTGGGGAGGGCCTGCTGCCAGAACAGCAGTGACAGTATGCCCTTCCCTGCAGTATGTGTCACAATGCACCCTCCTTGTGGGAGCCAGGAATTCCATCTCCTGGAATCTATCCTACAGATGTAATCATACAAAGATTTATATACAAGATGACTTCAGCTATTCGCAATCATATTTTTGAAGAATATTTGGTGACAGAAAAAATGCTAGGACTACATTAAGGAGAAAAAGGATACTAAACCACATGAGATTCAAGTTTTGTTAAAAATACACCTATTAGGGCAGCCCCCGTGGTGCAGCAGTTTGGCGCCTCCTGCAGCCCGGGGTGTGATCCTTGGAGACCCGGGATCAAGTCCCACGTCGGGCTTCCTGTGTGGAGCCTGCTTCTCCCTCTGCCTGTGTCTCTTCCTCTCTCTCTCTCTCTCTCTGAATAAATAAATAAATCTTTAAAAAATTATTAAAAATACACCTACCATATTTAATATGCATTAAAGAAAAACTAGAAACCACAAAATGTTAACAGCATTTCTATCACTAGGTGGCAGGTTCGTAGCCAGGATTTTGTTGCTGTTTGGTTTGGTCAGGGTATCCACTATCCACTATCTCTGCACCCCTTCATCTGATATCGGCACTTGGATTTTTCTGTGCTAAGACCTCTGTTCTTAATGGGATGTCAGCCAGGATGCTCACCTTCCCATGACCAAGGGCCAAGAATGTGACCTGAGCTCCACTGGTAAGCCTCCCTCGTGGGAATGTGAATCCTTGGCAAAGACACCCATGGATAGAGAATGAATGGGGCTGTGGTCTCCTATGAGCACAGATGTTTGGGGAGACTGCCTGCCGGCTCTGGCTCCCACCCGGCTTCTCAAAGGGCTGCTCCTTCAGATTCTCCCGTGATTCTCTGAGCCAACCAACAGCCTCCTAATTTTTGTTCAAGTTAGCCGGACACCGTTGATGCTGCTGTAACTGACAAGTCCCAAGTAATATCTTCTTCCCACGTGTTCACTGGACTCTAAACCCTCAACAGTGAGCATGCACTGCTTGTGGAAACAGCTCAGGGCAGGGCTCTGGACCAAGCCCCACTGCCTATATGATCACTAGACCCAGAAGACAAGCTGCCCCACGCGCCCCCTCCCCTGCCCCTGCCCTGCCTCCTTCTTCATCTGTCAGACCAGAGGTGTACTCCGGTTCACAGGGAGCTGCTGTACTGATAATAAAAGTATATATATAAAAAAGTATAGTGTCTGGTGCATCAAAAGCATCAAATAAATGGCGAACATTATTATTACAGAGATATAGCTGATAAGTCTTTGTGGAACAAACGAATCTATTCAACCGACAACAAATACTGAGTGCTTACAGCATGCCAGGCACAGGAACTAACAATAAACAAGACGGGCACAGCCGCTGCCATCGTGGGGCGTGCAGGTTTTGCTTAGAAGTTCACGTGTGTGTCTACATATATATTTTTATTTTTTTTATTTTTTTATTTTTTCTTTTGTCACACACACAGAGAGAGAGAGAGAGAGAGAGAGAGAGAGAGAGAGAGAGAGGCAGAGACACAGGCAGAGGGAGAAGCAGGCTCCATGCACCGGGAGCCCGACGTGGGATTCAATCCCGGGTCTCCAGGATCGCGCCCTGGGCCAAAGGCAGGTGCCAAACGGCTGCGCCACCCAGGGATCCCCTATGTATATATTTTTAAATTCTATTTTAAGTGCAGTGGGAAACTGTTAGGTTTTTAGTCAGGGGCCAACACGACACAAGACCTTCTCTGGATCTGTGTGGCACTGAAATGATCAGGCCATGTAGAAGGCTCTTGTAGCAATTCTGGAAAGAAATGCTGGGGATATGATGGAGGGAGAAACAGGCAGATGTCAGATACCCTGAATGGGACACACAACTTGCTGATGTGCCAGGTGTAAGGGTGACAGGTGTCACCAGGATGGCTCGCTGGCTTTCAGCCTCAGAGGCTGGTGGACAGTGCCAGTTTACGGAAAGAGGTAAGACAGACATGGGATGAGGGGATGTCAGTACCCAGGGACAGACACATCGGTTTGAGTTGTCTGGAGCTCAGAGGGCAGTCCCGGGCTGAACCTCTACAGGTGGGATGGCAGGCATCAGATGGAACCCGAATTTACAGGAATGCATGGACAACAGCCATCTTATCACTCTCACTCCGATAAGCACTAGACAGTCACCCTGACTGCCCACTACAACCATAGCTGAAACAACTGCTCTGGTTCAATAGTCCCTCACACTCAGGGGTGCACCTGGTGGACTTGTTAAAACACATTAGGCTGCTCCCTGGGTTTCTGACTCAGCAGGTCCCACGAAGGCTGGAAAACATCCACTTCTATCAAGTGTCTGGGGGTGTGGATCCCACTGGTCTGGGGACCCGACTTCAGATTGCTGTTCTCCTGATCACAGCAGACCAAGCCTTCAGTCCTAACTGGTGGTAAGTCAGTAACTCCCCTGAGTTCAACTGGGACAACCAGGGAATGGGGTGCAGGGGGCATACTATGAATGGTGGCTGCCAAGTGCCTCATACAACACCATCATTAACTTAAACAGGGTGAGTTACTGTTCCATTTAATGCACACCGAAAGCACTTAATGTTGGTGAACTGTGTATGTTTTGTTTCTCATATGGAGTTGGAGAGGGAGAGATCATGTGAAGACACTTGAGAGAACTCACACCTGAAGTTCTGTGCTGAGTGAGTCCCCTCACCCCTGAGCAGGGGGTTCTGAGTCCCCAAACCCACCTTCCTGGACTTGGGAGGCTGCTCCCACCTCCCCTGAACCCACCTCTGGTGCGAATGCCCACATCCTGGGCAGCACATCTTCCCTATGGGTTTGGCAACCACAGGTTCCCAAATCCCAGAAAAGCCTCTGTTTTATGTAATTCTATTTCTTATCAATAAAGATGGGCAGCCCGGGTGGCTCAGCGGTTTAGCGCCACCTTCGGCCCAGGTTGTGATCCTGGAGACCTGGGATTGAGTCCCACATCCGGCACCCTGCATGGAGCCTGCTTCTCCCTCTGCCTGTGTCTCTACCTCTCTCTCTCTCTCTCTCTCTCTCTCTCTCTCTCTCTCATGAATAAATAAAATCTTTAAAAAATAATAATAAAGATGATGACACAAGTATGCAGCAAAACACAATGTAATTGTTTTGCCTAAGACTTTGGTATAAATAAATTCATGCACCCTAACATTTGGGCTTGGGTTGCCTCCAGAGCCTCCTCCTACACATTTTCTCTCCTTGCCTCACACTTCAGAAATGATGCTTCACTACCGTTGGGGTGGTCACCCTTCCAGAGAACTTCACCAGGCGCTGTGCAGAGAACGTGCTGGAATGTCAGACTGGTACTAGAGAAGGTCTTTGGGAGAGGAGAGCCAGGCAGGAGGAAGAAGAGGCTGAAACAAGGCCACCCCAGCTGCCAAAGCCTGCTGGTGAGAGTCCGCATGCATCCCCCCCCCCCCCCCCCCGCGGTGTGCTGAGCGCCATCACCCCCTACCCGCGACATGAGGAATAAAGGTGAGAAGGGGCCAAACACCAGGCTTGCTGCAAGCCGGCTGCATATCTTACCTTCTCATAGGGACAATACTTGTACATCTTGATGGGGCTCGTGCAGATGAAGACATGGGTGCTGTGAGAAAGAGGAAGGAGAGTCAGCCTGAGCCCTCACATCCACATGGCCTTTGTCAACCCTGCCCCACCCCGCCTCTCAGCTCAGCGGGCATCAGGCCTTCACCAGTCTGCACCCACTGTCCCACACTGCTCTCCAAACCAGAGACACCCACCCTGTCCACGGCCCTGAGCAGCCATGTGTGACCTCTCCTCTGGCCCAACAACCAGCTCAGGGATGAGCATCCCACGGATGGCAACTCTGCATGGCCAGAGCCCAAGGCTTAGCTGGGCAAATCACTCGTCCTCTCTGGAATTTGAACACAGAAATACTGAGAAAAAGAAGTACTGGCAATGAGAGAGGCATTCAAAGAGTGCAGAGCAAGTTACTTGAGGGAGAATCAGGGCCTCATGCAATGTAAAGTAAAGAACCCCAGAGGGAGAAGTCTTCTGTAAAGTGAGCCTGCCAAGCCCTCTGGTGGAGGGGGGAGAGGGGAGCCCCGTTCTCTCAGCCAGGCTGAGCTCCCTGACCATGGGAGGGAGGCCCTTCAGAACGGCCAAGGACCACTCCCTCCCAGAGTCTGGGGCCCCACACCCTCACCAACAGAGCCATCTGGTCCCAAACATCCACAGAGGGCCGCCCTCTGAGCCTCATCAACCCGAGTCTGTGGAGGATCAGATCTCCCTGGCTCCTTGGCTCTTTGGCAAACTAGTCCCGAGAGTCCTACCTACCTACCTGCCAGGTCCCTGGGCAGAAAGCACATGCCTTCTAGTGACCCCGGGTCTCAGCCCTCTGGGTGCAGCCTCTGCCAGCCTCACCAGCCTCACCCCTCCCACCCGTGTGCAAGGTCGGTCCCCAAGGTCCTCAGCCTCTCCTCCGTGTCCTCTGGCCTCCTGCCTGCACCAGAGGGCCTCACAGGGGAACTCCACCTCCTGTTTTTTCCTCACACCCCACCTGCTACAGAGACAAAAGGTGAGGAGGGTCTTCCTCACCCTCCACTGTCACTTCCAGACCTTTCCTCCGTTACAGGGGGCAGTTAGTTAGACCCTAGCAGGATGCCTTGAGGCTGGCAGAGAGGAAGTCATGGTCAACTAGGAGCAAAGAAGGGCCGTCCGGGCAGCACTCCACAACAAAACCACCATAAGCCGATCAATCCAGACAGGCCCAAGATGGCTGACAGAGCACTGCTCCTTCATTGTGCCACATCGCCATATTGAAATCCCCCCCCCCCCGGAGGCTGCCATGACAGGAGACCCCCAACCACATGAGGAAGAGAAAGCACGTAACCCGCATTCCTAGGGGAGACCACACTGCTTCCAAGAAATCCCCTCCTCAAGTAGTGAATATTCCACCCCCTTGTTAATAACTGTCAACAAAGGACAGAACCCACAGCCCACTGGGCACAGATCTCCCTCAAGCTCGCCTGCTCTCACATCTCCCGAGTCCACTTTCACCTCAACAAATTTTCCTGCCTGTGTACTGCTCATGCGCTGTGTTGTGTCTGTCCTTAAATTCCTTCTCAAGGAGACCAAGAGATCATTTGGACGGGCTAGGTGGAGGCCTCAGGGCCCAAGGTCTCCCCAGTCCACCCAGCGACTCCTTCAAAATCTGTGACTCAGTGAAGCTGGGGCTGACAGCCACCCGCCTACTGTCCTGCTCTGCTGCTGTCACCTTCTGCCTGCCCAGGTGCTGTCCCTCATGCCCTCCCCAGTCCAAGGGCTCACCACCAGGTCTCCATCCCTCCCCACCATCAACTTCAGTGACCACAACACATACACACACACAGACACACACACATACGGACCTAGACCCACCGTCCCAGTTATAACCAGTTCACCTCCATCCCACCTCCAACACCCTTGGAGTGTGTCATTCCTTTGCTCAATCCTTCAGCCTCAGCAAGACAGCCACCCCCCTCACGCTCCACACGTTTTTGTCACCCCTGGCCACCTTCCTCCCTGAGGCCCCTCTGGCCCTGCTGCCATTTCCCTGCCAGTCTTTCTCTCCCTCTACCTGGGCCCAGAAAGAACCTGAATCTCCAGCTTCTTCCACCAGCACCCAAGCAACCAGATAATGCTGGAGGAAAAAAAAAAAACACAACTCAAATAATTGGTTTGGCCATTTTCATCTTAAATTCAGAACCACAACCCCAAGGCACTGGTGCGGTTGCCAGGCAGCCTTTCCCCAGGGCCCTGGGTATGCTCATGTTACTGCTTTCCGAGACAGCGGTCACACACTACCTCATGTCCTCAGACTTCTCGGCTCTGAGATTCGGTCTTCTCATCATGGAATCTAGAAGGGTGCCTGTGTCCAAACTGCCTTCTCCATTTCAAATGCATGGGAGGAACAGGCATCCTGCCCTCCTCTCCAGGCAAGCCCTGCACTTTTCCTCGGATTCCATCTCCTAATCTTCACAAGGAGGTATCACCCTGCCACATTCCCTTTTCCTGGACTCCTCTTCCATACCCTCATTCAAACATGTTCTGCTCCATCTCATCTTAAAACACACACACACACACACACACACACGGCCTTGACCTCACACCCACTCCCACGACCTCCCATCTCTCTGCTCCCACTACATCTATAACAAGTGGCCTGCACCCACAGACCCCACATCCTCACCTCCTGTGCATGCTTCAATCCACCCCAACCTGGAGTCCATCCACTCCACTCCCCAAAAAGTGCCTGTCATCAACCAGGACCCTCATGTCACCGTGTCTAATGTACCACCCACTCTCCTCCTCTTGCTCACCAGCACCCAAATGGCCATGTCCTCCTCTGTGACAGTGCCTGTCCTGGCATGCCTGCCAGTCGTCGGCCACCCAGCACAAGCGCCCAGCCTCTCTTGTGATCCAGACCCTCAGAGGCTCTTCACCTACACTTCCTGCTCAACGACTGTCATGCAGGGTTTGATGCACCACCTTTATGCAGTTGCCCCCAACTTTGCCTCCACCATCCAGCTCTCTCCCCCGAGTGCCCAGCTTACATCCTTCATGGCCTGAATATCTCCATGTGGACATCTCACCAGCATCTCAAACTCCGTTTTTTCACAACAGCACATGTGGTTCTCTCTACTCCCTGAACCTGTTCCTTCCCCCGTTGAAGGCACTACTATATAGCTCTAGTCACTCAAGCCAAAAACCTGAAAGGTACCCATTTCCCTACCCTTCCCCTAAACCCCAATATCCATCCCCAGGCCTATGGGTTCTTCCTCCAACACGTGCCTCATTCCATCAACTTCCCTCCTCAGTCATCACCCCGGTCTCAAGCACTGCCACTTTTTTTTTTTTTTAAGATTATATTTATTTACTCATGAAAGACACAGAGAAAGAGAGGCAGAGACACAGGCAGAGGGAGAAGCAGGTTCCATCCAGGGAGCCCGATGCAGGACTCAATCCCAGACCTCCAGGATCACACCCTGGGCCAAAGGCAGCGCTAAACCACTGGGCCACCAGGGCTGCCCTCACTTCCACTTTTTAACTGTGTCACCACAACCACCTCTGATGGTTCCTCAACTTCCAATTCTGCCACTGCCAAGCCTTTCTGCACCCAGCATCCAGACTATTTTTTAATATTTTATTTTACTTATTTCCTTGAGAGTGAGAGAGAGAAAGACCGAGTAAACAGGGAAAGGGGCAGAGGGGGAGGGAGGAGGAGAGAGAATCTGAAATAGACTTAGCACTGAGCACGGTCTGACACAGGGCTTGATCTCATGACCCTGAGATCATGACCTGAGCAGAACCAGGAGTCAGACACTTAACTGACTGAGCCACCTGGTGCCCCTGCACTGATTATTTTTCAACAGCTTCATTGAGGTATAATTGATATGTAATAAACTACACAAGTACAATGTGATAAATCACATGTGAAACACAGATCATCACAATTAATAACTACCCCCAAAAAAGTTTCCTGGTACCCTATCATCTCTACATGCCTCTCCTTGTCCCTACCCCACCCCTGGGCCCTAGGTAACTACTGATCTGCTTTCTGTCATCACAGATTAGAATGTATTTTCCAGAATTTTATGTAAATGGAAACAGAGTATGTACTCTTTTTTGTCTGGCTTCTTTCATCCAGTAAAGTTATTCTGGTACTCACTCATGTTATTTTTTTTTTTGTTTGTTTTTGAGCAGGCTGATTTTTTAAAAAAAACAGCTTCACTGAGATAGAATCCTTAAACCATTAACAGCCGCCCATTTTCAGCTTATAATCCACTGAATGTTACTATATTTACAGAGGTTGACAACAAACACCAGAACATTTTCATGCCCCCGAAAGGAAATTTGTGTCCATGAGCAATTACTCTATATTCTGCCTATGGCCTTAGGAAGCCACCAACCTCCTTCCTATCTGTGGATTTGCCTGTTCTGGATATCTCACATAAATGGAATCCTGTAACACACGGTCTAAAGTTACTGGCCTCCTTCACTTAGCAAAGCATTTCCCAGGGTCACCCACATTGTAGAATGTATCCATGCTTCATGCCTTTTAATTGCTGAGTAATATTCCATTGGATGTTGACGGATGGACCTCATTTGTTTGCCCATGTTAGCAGCTGATGGACATGGGGGTTGTCTCCACCTTTTGGCTATCATGAACCATTCTGCTGGGAACATTCATGCACAAGCTTTTGTGTGGACATCTATTTTCATCTCTCTCAAGTATACCCAGGAATGCAATTGCTGGGTCATACAGTAACTCCACATTTCCCATTTTGAGGAAATGTCTTCCCAAGTGTTTTCCACAGCGGCTGCACCATCTTCCAATCCCACCAGCAGTAACAAGGGTTCCAAATGCTCTACATCCTCAGTAACACAATTTGTCCTTTTTTTCTTTTTCTTTATGATGATCATTCTAGTGAATGTGAAGTGGTACCTCATTGTGATTTTGATTTGCATTTCACCACAGACTAATGATATTGGAGCAAATTTTCATGCATTCATTGGCCATTTGCATATCTTTTTTGGAGAAATGCCTGCCCAAACTTGTCACCAAGCCCATGTTTTTAAAACCTA